ATGTCATTCATCATTATTCCATAGTTCTGGTTTGAATTCCAAAGATTTTTTATATTGATGTTTCTTGGAAAGGCCTCTCATACTCTCATGAAAACAACCACAATGACAACGAAAATAACGAACAAAAGGGATTTCTTCATATTCCTTGTTTTGATGATAGATGCGAACGAAACTTTTTTTAAAGTTTATATTGGAAGAAGGAATATTGTTTTTTTTAATGATTTGTTCATGAAATATTTTGGTATATTTGCGAGGAGAATATCTTTGAATAGGCATATTATTCAGAGTTGAGTTGAATTTTTTGTGAAGAGTTGGTTGAAAAACATGCGTTTTTATAGAAAAAATCGACAGGTTTTGAAAAAATTTAAGTAAAATTTCATCGAATAAATCGTAAAAATTTCCTAATATAGACAGTATATATTTAGTAATTTACAAAAATAAATCAGAAATACTTGTGGAAAATTACCAAATGTGGACGATCTAAATTTGGTAATTTCACCAAATGTATAAATAACAACTGAATAAAAAATTAAGAAATACGCAAAAAAAATGAAAAGAAAATCAGACTCGATAGTGAAAACCCATCAGAAAAGAAGAAAAGCGCCTCACGAAACCATCGAAAAACTTCGAATATGTAGAATTACCGAGATGATTATAGAACAACTCTACGATATTATTTTTAATAAAATTCTCTATAACGATATGATCAAGATGTGTTTATCTACCCATCCAAAAGATTAATTGACAAGTGTAAACTAATAAATAGATACTTTAAACACTATTTTGAACAGTATTTTTTTGAGAAAATCAAAAAAAAACACAACCTAATTATCAATAAAGATAGAGGCGTTCTCTCATACGAATTTTTAAAGGTTCTAAATCCCATCGGATTTATCACTAAACATTTTCTCAATATGTTAACAAAAAACGAAGAAATTAACTTTTGGGAACTGATAATTCTTAACATTTACATCAATGATAGGTTAGAAATCAAACTCACTTCTCTGAATTTTCTCATCAAAATTGCTTATTTTAAAGTTGTCAAAATATGTCCAAAAATTGGATATTGGTTAAAATGTAATTGTCATTCAGAACATAATTTTACAAATATATTTCGTTCAGCAGATAAAAATTTTTAGTTTTTTATATACAACATATGTAGATTTTACCAACCTGTAGCCGATTACAGAGAAACTTTTAAATCAAAATTATCATTTTTATAGTAAATTTGTATAAATACGATATGTAATTAAAAAAATAATAAACAAATAAACAAAAATAATAAATAATAAAAATAATAAATAATAAAAAATAAAAATGAACGTTATTATCAAGGGAAAAAATGGTACCGGGAAAAAAACTCTAGGAAAAAAACTGGCAAAAGCCCTGAATTACACGTATATCGACCTCGATCTTTATGAAGATAAAGTTTACAAAGAACTGTTCTTAGATCTTCTAAATCATAACATCAAGATGGGGAAATATGTCATATCCGGAAATAACACGACCACACTAATCCTACAAAACAACGACATCAACATGCTTTTCACTGCCGATTTTGACACCAGAGTTGAACAAAAATACATGAAATTAAGTGATACTGATGAAAATCAAATTAAAGAACTTGTAAGACATAATGATGAAAAGTTTAACGAAAAATTGGTTAATTTTATCCTGGATACTACTGAAAAAAGCATGGAAGAATCGTTTAAAAAACTTTACGAAACCATGATGAAGACCAAAACAAACAATGAAATTTTTAAGAAATTAGAAATAGCCTTAGCATTTTTATTGTTTAGCATTCTTGTAGAAATCATTTTTAACAAAAGATATTTTATTACAGAAATAAAATAAATTGAAGAAATAAAATAAATTTTTATGTTTAAAAAGAACAAAAATCACACAATTCTAGCACTTTGTAAACATAAAAATTTATAATAAATTATCATCATTATACAAAACATCGTTAAAATACAAGTAATTGTTATAATATGGATTCTGAAGAAATATATCGTAAGACATATAAATTTCCAATGAATCCAAACCATCATCCACCAAAAGAATATAATTAACATCCACCACATTAGTAGAATTAACATCCACAATATTAGAATTAACATCTACCACATCAGTAAAATTAATATCCACGGTAGTGGAATTAACATCATCCAACAAATCTTCAACAGGAAAAGGAGGACAGAGTGTATCAGATAATGCTTCTCCTTTGATGTATCGATCGAATTGTACATTATCCTGTTGCTCTTCTTCCATAATAAGATCGTTTGAAGATAAATTTTCAACTTCAAACCTGCCAGAAGATTCATCTTGATTCAAAGATTCGTCTTCAACCACATTTTCATCATCATCTCGAACTTGTTTTTCTTTGTTAGATTTACGGAATTCTTGGAATGCTAACCATGACCTTCCATAGTAATCAGATGCCGCTTTCAATTCCGATCAAGTTTTTTGATAAAGTTTTTTATAATAATTAACTGTTCTTCTTTTTTTTGATTGCTTTTTACTGTTCTCAACATAAGCATTGTTCAAGATCGTGTTGGAAGTTTCAATGGAAAAATCCTCCTTCACCTCTTCGTAGGATCTCTTCTTGAGTTTAGGATTGCTCATAATTGTTTCTGGAGTGGTGTTCTTTATGTACTTGTACATTTTAAAACAGAAATTGACCATCTACGAGCAGAAAGTGTCTAATTTAAAGATAAAACGGATAAACTATTACACGCTTTCTTTAAGACCAATGAAACAAAATTGCCAAATGAAGAATCGAATGATTATGCAGATCATCGATGATTGACACACTTTCTCCGAATCAGAAAACCTGTTTTCCGAAACATCCAACCTAACTCCTGACTATAAATTTCTCACACGATCAACACCGAAATTTTTCACACGATCAACACCGAAATTTCTCACAAGATCAACCCAAAATTTCCCATAGAGATCAGCTGATATTTATACGATAAGACTAATTTATATCTCGTACTAAGTCTCTTTTTTCATCAAAAGAACATTCACAAAATGATTCGGAAAAATCCCTATAAAATCGTGTCATGCATCATGCATGCAATATAAATTCTGAACCAAAATAGCAAACAACTATATAATGTAAATAATTATAAAATGCCTTCTTTTCGTAAACTCTCTTTTAATAAAATCTCTATCTCACTTAAAAAAATGTTCATAAACGAAAAAAAATATGATACAATGATTAACAATCTCGCAACTCTTAATGATTCTGATTACTCTTATTTACATCTTTTTAAGGAAGAATATCAGGCAGAAATGGCTCAAATCTGCCAAGAAAACCCAACTATACAAAGAGTAACAGAGATTGTTATTCAGAACTTCCCTTAAGTAAAATTACTATATGAGGGAAAAGTCAAACCAACTAGATACGATGGACCAAAACTCTTTTGTATAGAAAGAGATGATGATGGTTGGAAATATGCAAGTGGAGAAGAGTGGTTTATCTCAAGAGGGTTATTATTTTTTATTGGAAAACATTTTAAAGAATATAAATTTATATAAAAAATTATTTGTAAATATTTTTAATAATTTTAATAAAATTTAATACAAAAAATATGAAAATTATGTTTGAATTTGGTAAATTTCGATCCAATTGAGTGTACGTTAACCAATATCATAGAAAGACCTTTGTCTGATTGGCTCTGGTTCATATGATGATAACTTATGGAATTCCCAATTAAACCCGTTCATATACATATTGCTAATACCAAAATTGGAACCTTTATCACCACACACACTAACAAATAATTCATCATTTTTTTGTCTTGTGACCTTAAAATCAGTATTATCTGAAATATAAAAATACTTATGCGAAAATATAAAACTATCTAAAATTTTAGTTTTCTCAACTCATTTCCAATATCCTGCATTGTAACCACCATACAAACATAAATTATCTTGTCCAATAATCAGCAATGATTCTTTATCCTCAATTACATCGTAGAGATCTCGTCCATTCAAAGAATCTTGACCTCATCTTGCGGAGAAAATCAACCTATATCGGGTTAATGGATTGTTGAAGATTTTGTTTAAACTATCGATACAAGAACGTGTAAGAAATGATGACACATTATCGATATTCAAATATCTAATCCATCCTAAATCGTGTTGAGAAACGTAATCCAAATCTAGTTTTTTACCGATCACATTTTTCAAAAGATGCTGATTCTTGGAAAGATTATATTCGTTCCATAATTTTTTCTTTTTCCAGTTAATGCAAACAAAGTTCTCCCAGATCAATATCATAATTATTCTTCTTAATTATCCAGAACAACTCTTTCTCTGTCACTCCCAAATCATCTCTTCTCAACAATAATTTAAATATCTCATTGCTGAATTTTGTATCAGTATCAAATACAAGCTTTCTAATATTTTGCATTATATAATGAAATGTTGATTCAAATATGTGATATAAAGACTCACATTTAAACAAAAGTTCAACCAATATAACAATTTTCTCACTTGAGAAAGTGGTAATGGTGAGTTTCAGACACTCATATATTTTTCTTGACAAATCATTTAACAACAATTTATCACTTTTCTTCAACAATTCAATTGTCAATTCAACATTATCAATTTCAAGTAATGTATCAGAATAAAGATAAGTTACAATAATATATATCACAGCTTGTTTCTGATCAGATTCAATAACGAACATTCCCTCTTAGCCCAAGTTGATGATAATAAAGTACGAAAATATTCAGAATGAGCACTTAAAATTTGAGAATGCGCACGTATCTCTGGATTAGTTTTGATGATAACATTTGCATTTTCTCTCAAGAAACTTGACATTTTAACAATTATTGTATTTAAAATTAATGTTTAAATAACAAATAATGATCGAAATTGCTAAATGTGAAAAATCTATATTTGGCAATTTAGTTAAATATATAACGCATATCCATACATTCATCAAAAATAAAAAAAAATAGATGAAAAAAATTTACAAAAACTTAAAGATTTAATTGAAGAATTAGAAAAAAATTTTAAATATTCGATGATGTATCAAATACTTGATACAAAGTTGAAGAATCCTAATCTCTGTGATGGATTAACAGAAGAAAATTATTACTGGTATCTGTTAAAAATAGAAAAATTATATGAAAGAAAAGGTAGTAATAAGTGGACTCAAAAAGATAATGAAAAAGCTCACAAGTTACTAAAAAAATACACAGAAAATAACAAAATAAGACACTGGAAAAAAGCTGATAACAAACTAAGAAGTATATATTTAAATTTACCGGATGAAATTAAAAAAGATCAAAAAGAAATTTTTGAAAATATAAATGAATGGTGGAATAGAAGTATCAATCAAGCCAAAGAATTTCAATTGGAAATTCCGGATTCAATAAAAATGATATACAATACGAATCACGTGACAGTGAAACTTTTTTAAAATTAGCAAATTATTGATTATGTAATATCTAAAATTTTGTTACTTGAAATAGTAAATTAACTTACTAAATATAGAATCTATATTTGGTAATTCAATAAAAATTATATAAATATGCTAAAATATAATACAGCAATAAACAACAAATAAAATGAACCAAGAAAAAAATGAAAAAATCCTGAAATCGCTGATTTACAGAGAACTCTATAGAAACTATTTCTACCTCGTCTCGTATAATGAAACAACCAAGAAGGCAGTTATCAAAATCGGTAAAATTATGAATAAAGAAATCATCGACAATGAAGAAAAAACTATGTTCAAACTCATATTAAACAACACAATCGAAGAAGCCAAGAAAAGAATCTGCAAAAAAATCATCAAAAAAATCGATACCTGTTACAAAGAAAAACTCTTTGAATTTTTAGACAGTACCATTGAAGATTTTGTCACTGATAATATTGATAAATATATATTCACGTCAATCTTTCGTATATTTACCAAACATTACTACTTTCACATTCCTGTTGGTGAAGAATATAATTTGCTTACAAAAGATGAAAAAATCTTTTTTAAGAATTTATTGATACAAGTAATTGAATATCAAGAACAAAAATTTAGTAAAACATCGTTGAAAATGCTTAAAATTATAAATGAAATTGAAAAAAAAATTAAAAATCCTCTAAAAAAAAACTATTCAGATACTTAAATTTACTATTTTATAATATTATTATTAACAGAGAATAAATATTTTTAAAATTTCATAAATTCTTGTTTAAGTTTTAACCTATATTCGACAATCTTATCTATCTGCTCATATGTGTAATTAACAATAAATGATATTGAAATATTATTAAAAATCATGTACTTTTCTTGATACATCTCTGGAAATTTTCTGTGAAGCGTATACATAAGCTCTTTAAATTTTCCATGTTGATGTTTTGTAAAAGTTAGAAAAAGTGTTTTAGCTAACACATTCTTGTATTCATTAATACGAAAATCGCGCTTTCCAATATGACGATTAACAGAAAAATAATTGATATTCTCATCAATTGTTTGAAGAAAAGTAATAGGTTGTTTATATTCCATCTTAATAAAAATTACATAATTTGTCTTCCTCTCGGTACCAAAATTTGATACTGAGAAGAAATTTACAAGTAGAAAATAAAGTCATCGGTTAAAATTTTTGGTCTATTCCCAACTAATCTAGCATAACAATTATCACATAATTTATGAGAATAATAAATAGAATTTCTAAATTTACATGCATAAATAAAACAATTATAGATAAATGTTTCAGTTAAATACATAAACTTTAAACAAACATTACATATTTTCTTGTTAGCATCTAACACAAAATCCTTCTTAAATGGGTATAATCTGCATCTTGAACTGATTTTGGATTCGTTTTTTTCCAATTGAGAGTATACAATACCATTCTCTTCATAATGAATTAAGCATCTTTTATTGTCCTTAAACCAGATCCACCGGCTATCCACTTTTTTAATTTCCTTGTAAAAAACTAACTTTTGTTCATTGGAAATTGGATTAAAAGTGTTTATATATAAACAATATTGAGA